AGCAGCAAGAGCAAACACAAAGCTAAAGGCACATGTCAATCTCTCTGATTCCAAATCAAAAGAGGCCCAAGGCTAAAACCACGGGTATAGTGGATTTTTCTTCTACTCTCCTACTAGTATAAGTATATATCTCTCTTGGTTTCATTGTCAACCTGATTCCTTTCAGTCTCAGCAACAAGCTACCGGAACCGGAAGTGATGATGGCTAGTCCCAGTAGACGTATATTTCATGTTGCTATGTACCCCTGGTTTGCGATTGGCCACATCACCCCCTACCTCCACCTCTCCAACAAGTTAGCAGAGAAAGGCCACCGAGTCTCCTTCTTCTTGCCTCTCAAAACAAAGTCCAAGTTGGAGCACTTGAATCGCTACCCACATCTCATCCGCTTCATCACAATTCCTATCGCTCGCGTGGACGGCCTCCCGCCGACCGCAGAGACCACTGCTGATGTGTCTAGCCCCATGGTTCCCCTCCTCATGACTACCCTAGACCTGACCAAGGACCATGTTGAAGCTTTTCTACTTGATCTTAAGCCTGATTTAGTTTTTTATGACCTCGCCTATTGGCTTCCAGCCCTGGCACGACATCTTGGCATCAAATCCATCCATTACAGCGTCGTCAGTTCTGCAGCGTCCTCCTACCTCGCATCACCTGCACGTATGCCGCCCAGCGCGGGGGTCAAACAGTTAACCCAGGAAGAGCTGATGCAACCTCCAATGGGCTACCCATCATCTTCCCCATTTCAGATTCGTCGCTACGAGACTCGCGATGCATTATTAGCCTTCCAAGACAGGGGTGATGGGTTAACATTCTACGATATGTTGACGACCTCGTTTGGAGATTCCGACGCCATCTGCTTTCGAACTTGTCGAGAGATCGAGGGGCCTTACTGCGACTACATGGCTACCCAGTACGGAAAGCCAGTCTTATTGACGGGGCCATTAATTCTACCTGCTCATCATCAGCAACCAAACACAAGATTATTGGACGAGCCTTGGTCCAAGTGGCTCGGCAATTTCAAGGAGGGATCGGTGGTGTATTGTGCATTTGGAAGCGAATGCATACTTCAAAAGGACCAGTTCCAGGAACTGGTGCTGGGGTTTGAGCTGACCGGACTACCCTTCTTGGTAGCACTGAAACCACCACACGGAGCATCRACAATAGAGGAGGCATTGCCCGATGGGTTCAAGGAGAGGGTCCAAGGAAGAGGAGTAGTTCATGGGGGTTGGGTTCCACAGACGCAGATACTGAGTCACCCCTCGGTCGGGTGTTTTGTGAGCCACTGTGGGTATGGCTCCATGTGGGAGTCTTTAGTGAGCTCTTGCCAGATAGTACTGATTCCAAACTACGGCGATCAGTTCATGCACACCCAACTATTAACTAGAAGTCTGAAGGTTGCGGTGGARGTTGAGAGAAGGGAAGAAGATGGATGGTTCAGCAGAGAGAGCGTGTGCAAGGCCATAAGATTGGTGATGGACGGAGAGAACCAGATCAGAAAAGAAGTGAAGGCCAATCATGTTAAGTGGAGGGACTTTTTGTTAGATGAAAACATGCAATCTTCCTATATTGATGCTTTCATCCATGACCTACGAGTTTTATTGGGTTGGAGAGATTAAATTTAAATGGGTGTCCAAGAGATTCAAATGGTGCAGCTCACATCCTTGGTAATGCATGTTTAAAACTTAGAAGCTGAGTTTCAGTTTGTTGGAGCCTTCCCTATGTGGTGTGGTACATGTTTGTTTGATAGTAGAGGCCTTTGTTTTAAGTTTACTTGTAGCCTTGTTTTT